AGGGGGAAGCCGCGCTCTCCTGGACTTTTGTGGGAGTGGGGGTTGCGTTGTGTGTGTGGGTTTTTTTAAGGGGGGTGGGGTGGGTTAGAAGAGAGTCTGTGGTTTCCATGGAGATGAAGCTGAAAGTGCAGGAAATTTAAAGGCTTTGGGTCCTTGCAAAGCAGACAAACTGGTGCCAACGTGCGTGGCTGCTGTTGCTGCCGAGGAGGCTGCTTTGGAACGGCGGAGAGGAGCGGGGAGGAAGGATCGGCAGCAACTTCTTCCACGCGCACGGGCAGACAACGAGGAGCAGCAGCAGCAAGAGAATTTGCAACAAAAAGAGGCATCTCGTGTTCCCGGGGAGGGTGAAGAGAAGCAGCAGCAGCAGAATTTTGGAGCGGCTCCACCAGGAGAAATTTTATAGAGAAGCCTGCAAGAGAGAGTGTTTGCAGGGGGCTTGTTCTCGGGGCTTATTAGGGGGCTGTCTCTGCTGGTGGTGCGGGGAGTGGAGGTGATCCCCCTTAAAGACAAGCTATTTTGGATATCCCCGTACAAGTTTTCTGATGTATTCGCTTGCACCTTCTTCCCCTGCTGTTTGGTGAACCCAGCCCCCCTCTTCCCCCAAGTCTCCCAAGGATGGATCATTCCCAGTGCCTTGTGACTATATACGCCTTGGTGGTTCTGCTGGGTCTCCGGCTAGAGCAAGGCGTGTGCCAGCACTATCTGCACATCCGACCGGCTCCCAGCGACAACTTACCCTTGGTGGATCTAATCGAGCACCCGGACCCTATCTTTGACCCCAAGGAGAAGGATCTTAACGAGACCTTGCTAAGGAACCTCATCATTCCCAGTGCCTTGTGACTATATACGCCTTGGTGGTTCTGCTGGGTCTCCGGCTAGAGCAAGGCGTGTGCCAGCACTATCTGCACATCCGACCGGCTCCCAGCGACAACTTACCCTTGGTGGATCTAATCGAGCACCCGGACCCTATCTTTGACCCCAAGGAGAAGGATCTTAACGAGACCTTGCTAAGGAACCTCATGGGCGGACACTTCGACCCTAACTTTATGGCTATTTCCTTGCCCGAGGACCGGCTCGGAGTGGACGATCTAGCTGAGCTGGACTTGCTGCTCAGGCAGAGACCCTCGGGAGCGATGCCCAGCGAAATCAAAGGGCTGGAGTTCTACGACGGGCTGCAGCCGGGCAAGAAGCACAGGCTGAGCAAGAAGCTGCGCAGGAAGCTGCAGATGTGGCTCTGGTCCCAGACCTTCTGCCCGGTCCTATACACGTGGAACGATCTCGGCAGCCGCTTTTGGCCCCGGTACGTCAAAGTGGGCAGCTGCTACAGTAAAAGGTCTTGTTCAGTCCCAGAAGGCATGGTTTGCAAACCTGCCAAGTCCGTGCATTTAACGATCCTGAGGTGGAGGTGCCAGCGTCGGGGAGGGCAGAGGTGCACATGGATACCCATCCAGTACCCCATCATTTCGGAGTGCAAGTGCTCCTGCTAGGGCTTGCACTTCCCTTCGCTCGCCCCTTCTTCAGCGGACTCACGTGGACCTTTGCTGCAACAAAAATAAAAGACATTTGCTTTCTGGTTAACGTTGTAATGCACTGTAACGTGTAGGAGAATGTATATTGTGTGTATATATGGCACCGTCTTAATATACTATTAAAAGGTCAGTATTATACGTGAAATAATCAGCGTCTACTGTATTTTTAAGACTATTACCCTGATCGTTGCTAATGTATCTTTTTTTTTTTCTTTTTTTTTTTTGGTATTTATATTCCAGAGAGAAGTTGCTTCGCTTTGACGAAGCAGGTTTTTTGTTGGGTTTTTGTTGTGTTGTTGTTGTTGTGTTTTGTTTTTTTTTAATAAAAGGATTAAAAAATACAAACCAAACTTTTTGATAAGAAAGCGTTTTAAAGCTATTTTCCATTATTCGGAAAGCGTGTGTGTGAGTTTTTTTCTTTTTCTTTATGGACTTTAGATTTAAAGTAAAAATGAATAAACGCCTAGAGCACAATGTTATTGTAAATAGAGAGAACAGTTTGAATGACTTAATCCTATGTAAATGAAGAGTATCTGCTATTTATTCTTTATATCCTTGTAGTAAAAGTGCAGTGCAGAATTAAAGTCAACCACTAAAACACGAGCCGTTTGGATTCTGTTTGCTTTTTGGTTTGGCCACCTTCGGGGGGGCTTTCTTCTCTCTCCTCCTCGTTCTCCACGCTCAGCGGGACGTTTCGTGGCGGCGGGGGTGGGAACCTGCTCACGACTCTGTTAGCGGGGACTCCGGCACCTCCACC